AGACAGGATGAATCCAGCAGTGCATTGTGCTCACACCTTTACTCCATGATCCGAGGGAACCGGCAACACCGACGAGCCTTTCTAATTTCCTTACTCAACCTCTTTGATGATACAGCTGTGAGTCTAACACAAGCCTTTGATACTCTTTTCTGCAGTGCTTATGATGGTTTTGGATGGCTTAAATTATATATGTTAAAACAGCTTGAAAAACTATTTAGTTTGCACTGATCCAGTGTTAAGTATATCCCCCAAGTTCTCAGTTTTGGATTGGGCTATAAAGAATGCAAACAAATCTTGGCTTTGGAGTTAAGATAATTCTCCCCCCCCCCCAAAAAAAAAAAAAACCACCCTGAAATGCAGGTTTCCCTAAGCAAGAGCCTTTTTAAAGTCTGCCCAAGGCAGTTACCAAGTGGTCTGTGGTTAGGCTTCTTTCATGGCCCCTTTCAAGGAGAAGGTGGGGTGGGAGGTGAGTCAGCCCTCCAAAGAACATTTTTATTCTCTCTGGTCCCACTTAGTTTCTTTATTGTCTGTGCCCCTCTTCTGGGTTGACCCAACACATGTGTATGTCTTACTTCCATGCCTGGTCAGTATGGCCTGTGGCATCAGAAGAAAGAATGGCCGCTTTTCTTGCACATGTTTCAGTGGCTAAAGACTCCAGGGGGTTGTGCATGCTCAGAATTTGGATAGGCGTCTTCAGGGCTGGCTCGCCCGCTAGGCGAACTAGGCCTTTGCCTAGGGCGCGAGAGGAGAGGCAGGGGCGGCCGCCGGCAGCCTCTCCTCGCCCGCAGCCCGGCCGAAGCAAGAAGGGCGGGGGAAGAGGGCCAAGGGTAGCGCTGCACTGCCCGGGCCTGGCGGGGCCCCTGTGGCGAGGCAGGAGGCAGGGAGCCAATCCCCGGGCCGCTGCCGGGCCACTGGCCCAATCAGCGCCCCAGAGGGAAATCCCGTGTGTTAAACGTGGGAATCCCCGGTGGGCAGCAAGGCGCTCCTTGCCGGCTCTGGGAAGGCGTTCCTCCTTCTCCTCTGCAGCTTGCAGGTAGGTGTGTGGGGTAGGGGAGGC